CCCCCCCCCCCCAAACAAAAAAAAATCTCCTTCATGGCGTTCCTAAATTCGGAGTTCCGCTCGAAGCCAACTAGTAGCTCATCCTCAGCGATGCGACGGCACTGAGCTCTTCCCGGGTTTGGAATCTCACGCTCAGGTCGGAAGGCAGAGGCAGAGGATCTACTTCGAAGGTTCGACGCGCGAAGCAACACCCCGGCATTACTAGCTGTCATCCTACCGGGTTCAGGCCTGTCGCGGGTGAATGAGTGAATGGGAGGGTCAAAGACCCTAAGCCCTGACCATGGTTTTGGTGTTGCTTACTGAGGTCACAAATGTCTCCTGGAAACAAGAGCAGGCATGAAGTCAAGATCAAGTTACAGGTTCAGATTCCTAAACTTCGATCATGTGGGTTTGGTCACACACTCTCAGATGCCTGCCCGCTTCCAAGAACTGGGAGCACGGCGACGTTCTTGCAAATTCGCTTCCGGACACACGACACATGACATGCTACCGCAGGCAATGAGCCCGAAGTCAAATTCTGCAATCAAGCTTCGAAGGACAAAGATCCGCTCTCCTCGGTTTGGGGAAAAACATGGCAAGGATTACGGGTTGTTAGCCTTATTGATCACTCCATCATGACCAGATGTGTGTGGTTCCGATGCTAGCCCTAACTTACCCTAGCTCTTCGGCCTGCTTGTTCTGGTTACCGTCCTTCTCTCCTTTCAAGCTCCAACAAGTCTTGTTCCTTTGCAGCATTCCCTGTGCATCACGCGTGTCTTACATTGACCGGGGCACCGCAATCGCCAAAGTCACAGCTGCCACAGCCCGAATCGATCCGGCCAGTGACGTGACCAATTGCATGATGGTCGCTGCTGCTAGTGGTGCGAAGTAACATACGCGCTGCAATGAGGAAAATAAAAACAATTCGGTTGGCTTGCTACAAGAGCAGGAGCTGTGACCATTGCAGCAACGACCTCTCCGTTGCAAACACTTTGTGTGCATAGATCGTCTCAGCATAGGTTCTCCCTGGCTGAACCGAGGAAGCAGAACTGGCAAAAGCCAAGACAAGGAACCACTTTGGCAAGACAAGCCGCATCGTCATCCAGGATTTTGCAAATCTCCAGCAGTCGATTCTTCTGTCGCTCCTTCTGCTTCTGCTCCTCGCTCCTCTGTCTTCTCCTTAGCAATGGCTACCCTGTCTAATCAGTCTATAGCCTGTGGAATTTTGCCTGCGGCACAACTGAGTCGCAGTCCGTTTCGCCTCCTGGGCTTCTTCTCGGGCCTGGGCGCCGCTGTCCACGATCGCCGCAACGATCAGGTTCCTGAGCAGGTTTTGGGTTTGTTGCACTGAGGCCCGGACAAGCCGGCAACGTCTGTGGCGATACTGGTCTAACAACTTACATCCAACTTGCCTCGTGTCACCAAGTACGACAAGTACGACTGGCTGTCATTGGCCACTTTGGGCGCAATCTCACGACCCCGCAGTTCAAACGAGAAGCAGCGGGTCAGTTAAATGCCCAAAGCGCAGGAAAAATCTTTCGACCAGCCCAAGGCTCAGCACTCCCAGGGTGACCGTTGCATACATGCCGGCCTCAGTGTTGCTGGTGACTTACGACCAAGCACCGCTCCGATGCATGGCTACCACCTGTGACATCTGGACTCCTGACTACTGATGGAAGGACAGCACAACCATTAACCACAGCCACCTTACCGTTTATTGTTACTGCTGATGCTACTACTGTTCAGGTTGTCCTCACAACTACCACTACTACTGCCACTACTGCTGCTGCTTCTGCTGCCAATACTTCTACTGCTACTGCTCCTGCTCCTGCTACCCCTACTCCTACTCTTACTCCTACTACTATTGCTACCGCCACTAATTTTTCATTCCAATCGCAGCCGGTCGCTCAGCTTGGCGTAGAGGTGGTGGCAGGTGTTTTGAACCGGTGCTTCATGAGCACAAATTCACGTGGGCAAGTTCTGCTACGAAGAGCTGAATAGCTGCAAACTTGCAACCTACTCAACTAGTCAAGATTACTCGGTGAGCTTGTGCATCCCTTGACATTTGGAGCGACGTCAAGCTGGCTGTCAAGCATGACACGGACACGCATATGTACAAGTGGCCCTGGAGGGGCACACTATCTGTCACTATCTCTAGAGGCCAGGGCGGCACACTGATGCAAAAACAGTATGCAGTGCAAGCTCAGTCTGGGAGCATGAACTGGAGTCGTTTCAGCTGTCTGACCGTCTCCTCAAGAAGGAGATTCTTGTTTTTGATGGTAAAACCGGCAACGGTGATACGATGCCCTTCCCAGGGGCAAGTCTCGTGCCTCATATGTGGGGGGGAACGTAAGCCCCGACATCGTGATGCTGTGTCTGTGGCCATCCTGCTGTCCATCCCGAGAGGGACAGCATCCGTCCGGTGTTTCCAGCCACAAACCACCTCCGCGGAAAGTGGAAAAGTGGAACATGGTAGCACGACATTGACGCTGCCAGGGTCATTGCACGACATTGACGCTGCCAGGGTCATTGTTGAAATCCGTGTGTATGCGCATGCAAGGGTTGCGCTGAAGCACAAAGCTGGAGAACGTCTCACGCAACGCTGCCGGCACGCAGTCAGCAACCAGGGGCAATCTGCTGAATCAGCACCGTATAAGTTGCAAACCAGGGGCCAGAGGAGTCTCCCTTTTGTACCCCCGTGAAGCATTCAATGAAGTCTCCCACAGTGTAGCTGTTGTTCACGGTACGTAGGTACGGGCACAGTAAGCTGCCCGCCAGTGCGAGGTTCCAGTTTCCCACTCTGGGCCACTCCGAACTTCAATCTGAGCTCCAGTTGTCTTCCGACCAGTTCTTCCAGTCGCCGCTGCGGCCCGGCTCTTTCCATGCAGCAGTCCTGACTGTAATCGAGGTACCGCTTCTGCGCTGATTTGTCTCCTTGTCCCGGACCTGAGCGCATGCATTCGGTGGCCACAATAGGAGTAAGGCAGCACAGTCGTTTCAATCTTCCATGTACGTGTACACGACTGCTCATGCTTGTGTGAGCAGAGCCAATGGATGAGTGCCGGGCAATCCTGGTCAGTCCACGGCATGTAGGTCCACATTGCGGTCCATACTGTGCACTTTATGCTGTGGACTTGAGCAGATGCATGCTGCAAGTGTTGCTCATCATATCGTGTTTGCGCCACCTGTAGTGAGCGTTGCACCAAGTCGCGGCTGCTTGTGGGCATGGGCTTGCGACGGGGTTTGCGTCCCTGTGGTTCTGTCTCTGGCACGACATGTGCGACTTGCCATGCGGATATGTCACTGCCTGCCCCGCTATTGTGCCTACCTGAGGTTTGGGAGTTTTTCTCCGTGTCGTGTAGAGGCACTTGTTTGAGCAGTGCACCCTGGTGTGGGGCTTGGGGGCTCCCACTGTCTGTGCTGTTTTTGGTGCGCTGCGAATCGCATCTGCATGTGAGCTCTGCCTGGTGTGCAGGGGATTGCTCTGCGCAAATCGCACGTCTGAGCTGCTCCCACCTGAATCAGCAATGTGAGCACTGTTAGCGTCCGCAACGTCCTGAGCATCATGTTTCCAAGCCAGAGTGCGCGGGATGTGCTGTTCCATGGCATAGGCCCTAGCACCTCTCATAAAAAAGAAAGTCCCGCTGTTGGGACACAATTGAGCCGGGGTGCTTACTACCGCCACTACCACTACAACTACAACTAGTGCTATTACTACTGCTCCTCCTCCTGCTGCCGCTGTTGACGCCAAGAGTACTGCTGCCCGGCCACAGGCTCACTGACAAACCTTTATATCAGCTCATTACCCATGCTGCTGGATTGCAAAGCCCCAAGGCCAAACATTTGCATTGCGGAGAGCTATCTATCTATCAAATTATCTATCTTTCTGTCTATCTGTCTATCTATCTATATGTCTATCTAGCTATCTCTCTATATTCTCTCTCTCTATACATATATATATATATGTGTGTGTGTGTATGTGCATATATATATATATGTATATGTATGTGCATATGTATACGTATATGTATATGTATATGTATGTGTATACATCGCTCTCGTTGTGTGTGTGTGTGCTTTATACAAATACATATATATATATATATATTATATATATACACAGATACATACATATCCAAAACGGGAGAAGGTCACCTGCGAAGCTACTATGACTGTTGCTGCGATCGCTTCTAATCCTGGCAGGATTTCTAACAAGGGACTAACAACTGGTTAACAGCAGCTGTGTCGAGTCCGATTAGATGTTTCAGCCTCTGCTACCACTTCAATGTTCTGACTCTGACTATGGGCTGTTAATGCTGGAAGAGGCAGCAACCGAAAGACTCCACTGCTGAGTCAAGTCTGCCAGGCCGCGAAAATGACCAGCAAAGGCGGATTTTTCTCGATGATCGCCTCAGGTCCGCACCATGCTTCAGGTGACTTTGTCAACATCTCGCGATCCTACCTCCAACATCTGGGAACATGGATGCGCGCGGAAAAGCAGGTCAGGGAAAGTGCTGACAAAGCAACTATGGCTGATGCACCCCAGCTGTCTCCAAACACGACTGTCTGGGTCAGAGTGATCACCTGGGCAAAGCAACAAGAGCTCCGGACACAGACCACGTAGACCCCCGTGCAGACGCTACGGACGCTGCGGAATAACAAGAGACCTTGAAAGCTGCTAAAATTGCCCGGGCGAGTGCTTGTGCCGTCAAGGCTCCGAATCACCGACTGACGACCAAGCTCTGCAGTTCCTGACCACACCTAGTTCGTCTTCACATGTATCGCCCAGAGATTGAACAATCTCGCGATAGGTTGGGTCAACGAAGTATACGGCGATGATTGCCCACATCAGGATCACCTCAGCTGGATTCTACTTGCTTTGAAAAAAACAAACTCTAGGCTCGAAGGGCCGGAGTCCGGAGTCTAAGGTATGCAAAAAAAGGGAGGTCCATTTATTGAGGTGCTTCCGGCCCTTTTGGGCCCCTGGGCAACGGGCAGCCAGGTTGCGATCCACATCAAGATGGAGCCCCAGAAGACCGCTGAGAAGGAGGAGATGAAGCCCTTCACCAGGAACTGCAACTCTGGGAACATGCCCACCACGCGAACAAATCCTTGCAGCACAGACATGGTGGTTGATACAGCAGGTGGCCAATAGATGGACTGTCTAAACTCCAGGCAAAGAGAATGTCGCTCGAGTCTTGTGCTCAATGATACGATCTGTTATGCATGTGCAACACAGATGGTTTTCATACGATGCGCTGACCATGGGCAGGAGAAGGTTGCAGGAGCCAAGTCTCTGAACACGCGCACCAGGCGAAAGATCCGCAAAAATCCGAGGTTCAACGGGAATCCTGCGCAGCAGACACCGCAAAAAACCGTCATTGTGCAAGTATTCATGGTTTTTTTTGCTTGGTTTAGGGTGTAGGGTTTAGGGTTTAGGATTAGGGTTTAGGTTCATCCCCCTCTCTAAACCCGAAACCCTAAACCCACCTTCCCACACTGCAGGCCCCGACTCGGGCTCAATGGCCTGAACCACCAAGTCGCCCCTCAAAAAGAATCACATCGGGACCCCTGACCCCTGATAATGTAGGCGCCTTATTACTTAGAATAGGGTTTTGCGGGGCTCCTTATTCTAAATCTAGAATAATACACACCCAAACCCTAGGTCTTGTCGGTCTTGGTTTAGTTTCTGGAATCACTCTTTTGCAACAGACCTGAGCAAAAAAAAACCATCAACACATGGGGCAAAAGTACGCATGCACAGTGCGCAGAGCGAATTTGTACCCAATCACAAACATCGGAGCCCACTGCCATGCAGTCCAGCCCATATCTTAGGACTGGCCCTCCGTATTGCAAACGTGGTCAGGTCACATAGGGTTTGAGTCTTATTGTTTGACTGGGTTGCTCTTTACGGATTAACGTTAGTTGGGTTTTTGGCTAGTTGGGTTTTATAGCATTGGCCGTTTACTGCATTACTTGTTCCGAAATTTTCATTTCAACAACTTCGCGAGGGATTGTGTAGCTGCTTCCGCCACTGTGACTCTGCACTATCAGCTTTTCTTGATGCGACAAAAGCTCCCACATCAAGTAACGGCGACATCAGTCTAGCCGGCGACACTTCAAAGCACTACAAACATGTGTATGGTAAGGAAGGCTTTACAAATTGCCTACATGATTCTCTCGCTCATATCACGGAGTTCTTAGAAAATGTGTACAACAGCAGTCAGGCGACGTCTTCTGAACAACAAAGAACTCGCCCTCATCACTGCTGCGATGCTGCACAGGTTTTGGATATTACCCAGCATTTGAGGGCCATTCTGTCCAAAGCTGACGCTTCGAGAGTTCCTGGCTTGGGTGGGCTTGAAATTGCTCATCTGAAACAGATTCCTTATTCTGCGGTACTTTTTCTTGCACACATCTTTCACAAAGCAATACAGCAGCATCGTGTGCCATTGGCATGGCTTAACTGCGAAATGACATGCATCCCCAAGAAGCAAGGCAAAACATCTGTGAAAGACCTGCGACCTTGACAATCACGCCTGTATGCTACAGGATCTTTTGTAAGACTATTCGTTCGATGCATCACGAAGTACAGCAAAATATTTCTGAGCACTCAGACAGTGGCGTTTGTGGGCGATCTGCCTTTCATGCATGGCTTCCAGCTGCGCTAATGTGTGAATCAACTTGGCGGCTGGACCCCTCGTTTAGAAATCCGATTCAGAGGATTTCCATCGATACCGAAAATTGTTCGATAACGTCCCCTCTGACAAAGCGTGTGAAAGTTTACTTCGCAGGGGTGTTCCTGCATCAGTGGTTGCAAATGGTTCGGGTTTCTAAGACGGGATTTAGGTCTTCTTTGGGAATTCCGCAGGGGGATCCTCTCAGTATGTTGGCTGCAGCCACGATGCTGGGAGAGTGGACCAATGAGATCCCCCATGATAACATTTTCGCTAAAGTCTTTGTGGATGATCGTCTCATGCTGAGCAGCAATTCCCAGCAGTGACAACAAGCCTTTCTCACCACACAACTTTGGGATGGTTCCTTTAATTTTAAGACTGAAGCCAAAACAGTTGCTTTTGGAAAGAATGCTGAAGCTGAAAACCTATGGTGGTTAGATGGATTTGAAGTCAAGAGGCAACAACAAATTGTGCACCTTGGGGTTCCACTCCCTCTTAAGAACACATCTGCTTCCAATTTGTTCAGCCTATCTTGCATGACTGCTATGTCGTTTTGAACAAAATGGTTACATCTCACATTACACATGACAACGCCGTCACAATTGTCGCGCGAAAGATCACACCTGCCATTTGCTATCCATCCTCTGCTGTCCGACCTACTAAAGCACGAATTGAAAACTTAAGATCAAAAGTTTTTGAAGCTACAGCTTTCCACAAGTGTCAAACACAAATGGCACACATGGTCTTCTACGAGCAAACACATTTGTTTGACCCGGAAAGTGCAATGGTTTATCACAATCTGAGATTTTGGAGGCAAGTGTTTTTTCAAGCGCCTTTGCTTGCCCAGCAACTTAAAGATATGCTTGAGCAGTCGGTTAAAGCTAGTCATGATCTGTATGGGCCTATGACGATATTTCAAAGGGATCTGGATTGGCTGTGTTGTCGCTTCTCACCTGAGGCTGACGCCATCAGCAACAACGTCAATGATTGCATTCTCTTCACCGAGCCTGACCAAAAGAAATTTGAGCAGTTTATTCGTGAACAAATTCGCAAGCGATTTTTTCAACAACTGGAGCAAAAACATGCTAGATTGGCAGGTGTTGCTGATGCTGACATTCAAGCAACGACAAAATTGCTACGCAGCTTAGAACCGTCATCGCCTTATGGGAATCCCATTATTCGCATGCTGTCCGATGCACATGCCACTCCTTGTAGGCTTTTTCAGATTAGAATTAAAGCCACGCCGCATTGTCAATACTGTCTTCATGAAAAAGGATGTATTCAGCATATTATGTGGGATTGCCCAAGGTTTGCTGAGCGCAGACGTTCTTGGCCTCAGGAGCTCACTGATCGTCATCAATGGCCTGAGTGCTCCAAATCGGCTCTTATCTGTTCGCACCTGCTTCCTGAATCCACGCGTAGTCAGTGGCATCAATTCCAATTGTTGGTCGCGCAACTTTTGTTTCAGTGGATGGAGATAAGCAGAAACCCCGAAAACTATCAGCAATTCGTCCCGGAAGAAACTGCGCAATATCTGATGGGCAGTGACGTTTTGCCACAGCAAAACAGGCAGAATGATGACTTGCGCTCTGCGCATGCTCTTCCTTTGCAATGGAACCCCCCTGGCACACGTACCGCTTGGAACAAGTGGGGAAGTTCCGTGAAAGATTTCGCGCTGATTTTCTCCTTTTGGACAAAATGGACCAATCAAAGCTGTATAAATGCTGTCAGAATTCGCACTTGGACTCAAGCTTTAGCCCTTTTTGTGCAGTATGGCGGAATTGATGCTGATTTCTTGGGCCAATGTCAATTTATAGCTATGGCTGCCTATAAATTAAGTATTCTAGCTGCGTTTCTGTTTCAAACAATGAATTGCAAAGCATGACTTTCCCTAATGATGCACAGACAAAATGGCTTGAAGCTTTTCCTAACGAGACAGCTTTTCCGGACTGCTTGTTCTTCATCCCGAAATGGGATCTTTTAGATGCTTCGAATAACATTCAACGAATTCGAGTTGAAGCTCGAATGACATCCAATGTCAATTCGCAGGTCCTTCGTGTTACAACTGCTGCATTTTGTGAAGCAGTGGGAATGAAAGCAAAAATTCTCATGAGCATTCCTTTGTCGGAAAAATGGCCGATTCCTAGATTCAGTAGAAAAGGTTGATCTATCCCTTGGATCCAACAAGTTCGTATGATCAAAGATGATATTAAGAACAATCGTGTCACTGAACAAATTCAATGTGTCACACAGATTCCCCTTGAAAGATGGACTGCTATGTCCTCTGATGAGATCAGAAGTGCACTGCCCACCAAACCTGGTCCCATCAAAAGATTCAGGGCAGCGAAAAATCGTATTACCAGATTTAAAGAGGTCTTTGAAAGATTCAAGCAAAATATGATTCTTGAAAACGATTTTCACACGCATCTTGTTGAGCCCATCTGGGCGCCTACTGAAACTTGCGCCTGCTGCAAGAAAATCTTGAACTTCTCTGCTGAACCACGAAACATCACTCCCAGATGCCCTGGCACATCTCATTTTCCTGTACAGATGCTCGACAACTGGTCATTAAAATATGACTCCATGTTGCGAGACATTGATGGCATATTGTCCAAACTCTCTTAGTCACGTAGCTGACGAGCAGCTATACATTCTCTGGATGCACAAGTCATCTGAAGCTCTGCTCGCCACAGACGTATGTCCGATTCAACCCCCAAGCCCTATTCTAATTATTACGACCCCTAAATTGGTCTGTGCCGGTCCAAGAGCAAGATCTATGACGAGAAGTAGCACATCAGCTGCGACCTTGGGGGCTACAACAGAGTTTAGGATTTCGACTCACACACTGGCACAAAGCTGGCATGGCGTTCGACGGTCGGAGCTTGCTACTGTGACATCCAGGGTGGGGCATAGATGCTATGGAGCCAGTTTAGGATTTAGGGTCTTAGAACTTCGTGAGGAAGGCACGCAGAGGGTGGGCCTGGAAGTTCTTTTAGCTACAAGTATCTGAGAGGAGCGAGAACTCTACGTCTGAATCTTTGCAGGGATGGAATTGAGCAGTCATTGAGGAGAGCTTGGGTTTCCTGATGATTTAGGGTGTTAGTTATTGTAACTTCAGGAAGGACAAACTTTGGTCATCTGATATCAGCTGAGGCCCTGGCAATAAGGAAATCGAAGAGCATGGCTGTTGTGAACACCTCCGTCCGAAAAACATAGACGCGACAGGCCATCTCCAGCGCATAGACACCTCGTTTCTGGACAGCGGGCACTTCTTGATCCATGCATTGCGGCGCATCCATAGCCACTGATGTACAAGTATACGGACAGCAACACCACATAAGCCCATGCGACCAGCCCGACGAGATGGGAGGAGTCTCATCAGACTAGGCGCCGTTTGGGGTTCCACGTCATTCCTAACCCAAGTCACGGTGAGATTTTCGGCAGCCTGTCACCTCTCTCGACCCGATCACCCTTGGCACACCGGATCGACGAGCCGATCTAACCAGCAGAAGCCCCCTCGCATCCTGGACTTGCAGCAGCTCAAAGGCATCTGACAGCTTCTGTTGGATCCCTGGAGAAACCTCCTTTCCTTGGAATTGCTGCACAAGTTGCAGGTGTAGACGCCGGTAATGAGGTTGGTTATCTGCTGCAATGTTTCTTCCTCCGAAGTCCTTGGCTTGCAGATTTCCACCCACGGCTGGGCCTCAACAGAAAAACCACTGGTTTTGCGCAGCCAAGTTTCAGATTCTTCTTTGCTGTCAGGTCAGCATCCTTAGTTTCCGATGGGGGAATGAACTTGACTGAGTCGCAAAGAAAGCCTGACTACTAGGTCTTCAAGCTCGTGCAGGGAAGTATCGCAGAGAGAACTGCTTACAGAACAAAAGCCCCAATCACAGCATCAGAATGTTGCATACCAACACACCTCTCTCAATGCAGTTGCACAGATAGGATCTGCCGAACGGGCACGGGGACGTTCGGATGCTAGGATTCGAAGTTAGGGCAGAGCGTCAGAGTCCAAACAAGCACACAACTTGATGGACCATATCCTGACTACCCAGGACGAAGGACTGCAATATCTAAACATTCGATAACAGCTTGCCGCCCAGAAGCATAAATCAAAATCACCACACCTCAGTTGATACTGCCATGGTTTTCCCAAATCTCAGCAAATCCGGCCTCTGCAAAGCATTTCGCGATTCGCCCCTGATTTCGCTTCGTTTCGATGGCGTCTCGACCTGGTAGCTGCTTGCGATAGATCCGAGCGGCTGGAGAGAATCATAGAAGCAAGTACCCAATCTGTCTTCTCGTTCGTGATTATTCCTCAGACGGCGCGCTGCAGCAGTATCTCAGCACTGACATTGACGAAACATACCCTTCACCCCATGCAAGCATAGCCGAGCCGCCCCAAATCTTCTGACGTACCGTTGTCCATTTGGCAAAGCCGTGTGGGTGAAAATTCCCTTCGCCTCCATCGTCGGAGTCGTCGTCCGCTGCACCTCCACTACGATGTTTACTATGCTTGAATCGTAATATGGCATGACATGTTTTCAACTTTCGTGTTCTGAATGTGTATCTCTATTGTTGTCATGTTATAATGATTACAAGCCATTCCATTAGTAGCGGTCGTTGGAAAGAGGCGTCCTACATGCAACACCAGCCAAGAAGTGCAAACCAGGTTCACGGCGGAAGATCAGGAACAGACAGGCAAGCACGAATGATAGCGAATGATCAAAAGATCACTTGGAAGCCCAGCATTCTCGAGCGAACATATGACAATAACAACAAAACTCCCAAAGCCCCCAGAAGAGACTTTGCCAGGGCACCCAGCGCCGCCGCGCCAAACTTCCGGCGTGGCCGCGGTGCAGGTGCGGACTCCTTTTTTCCGGCCCTGGGAATGCAGAGGTTCAAGGCAGGTGTCATGCTCATCTATATGCTCACTCTTTGTGGCTTGTAAATTCCAAACTTGAGTACTTGAGTGGCTGTGATGTCCGAAGGTTGTCCACTTTGCATGTCCGTTTGCTCTGCTTGCAAACCGGGAAAATAGATGGGAAGTAGGGCGCTGGATTTGTTCGCATCCAAGTCCACCTAGAACTCCTTGGTCAGCTCCACCATGGACAGACCAATCAGCCACTACACGAAGCTCACACGGACAGGGCTCCTCCTACAAAGACCTCTGTTGGGAATTGTTGCGAGAGACTGGAGCCAGCAACCCGGGCATGTTGGCTTGCAGACGAGCATCCCGAACACCATGATGCTGCGTCTCCCGCAGCAGCAGCTACGGCTGGCGTTAGTTTGCAGGGCACGTGCCTAGAAAGGCTGTCAATGGCCTCTGACACGCTGCAACTCAACTCGGCAAGCTGTCGTTGCAACTTTGCCTGATGCGATATCTGCTATTATTGAACAAGCCCTGGCAGTGATGAGATCTTGGGCCAGCTGGGAGCAGCGCAAGGGCACGGACAACGGCGGGAAAAAGCTCCAAAAAGCCGCTAGCTCCAGCGGATCTTCAGGCTGCGCCACTCAACTACCCCAAAAGACCGCAAAAGCCATGCCTTGGGGAGCCTCTAAGCTTCGACGTCATGGAAAACCAACCTAAGGCTACCACAGGCACCCCCTTGAGCTCGTAAGGCTCTGGTAGCCTCGGAGCTCGGCACCCCGGCAAAATTCTCAACATGAGCTGGTTATGCCCGAAACAACGACATTATGCTTAACAACCCCTCAGGCGTATTCTTGAACATGAGAGTAAGAAGAAGAAGAAGAAGAGGAAGAGGAAGAGGAAGAGGAAGAAAAAGCATCACGAGTAAGAACAACAACAAAACGACAACCAAGAATAAGATTAACAATAGAACCAAAGAGTATCACCAGTATACGAAGGAACGAATTACTAGCCCTTTGTCGATTTACTCTTGCTCTTCTTTTGGCTCAGGACCGCGGCGAGTCGCAGGGGCAACCCTGCTAACCCTTCACCCTGGACAGGTGCTAAGCTTTTTCCCTCGGGCTTTCGGGTTTTAGGGTTTAGTGCTTTAGAGTGTTAGGGTTTAGGGCTTTAGGGTTTTAGGGTTTAGGGTTCTAGGTTTTAGGATTCAGGGAACGAACTGGAACCCAACACCCCAAAGCACTTGAGCTCCGTCTAGTTGACCAAGCACAACCCCAAAGCAGAGAAAACATGTCTTGACTGTGTAGGCATATGTCCAGGAAGTCAGATACACAGACACAGATAGATAGATACACATATAGACTCTAGAGATCTAGAGTCACAAAAACACATATCCATAGACATACAAAAACGCATACCCATACCCATACACATACATAATTACGTACATACATACCTCACTGCTTATGCGTGTGTATGCGTGCAGTTGTGCATGCATGTATGCATGCATGTATGCATGCATGCATGTACGTACTCATGTATGCATGTGGGGTGTAGTACCCCTTTCGGTTTTCGTCTCATGGTCCGAGCATTACCGGAAACCCAAACCACACCACCAAAACCTCTGACCCCCCAATTCACTGAACGTCTGAACCTGAAGTTTAACCTGAAATCCCACAACCCTGCACCCCCAAGCGTGAATCCGCAACCCCCCCCCACAACATCCCAAAACTGGAAATCCGAAACCTTCGACAGGCCTTTGGCTTTCTCGTAGTGTTCCTGGGAGCTTTCCGACTCCTAACCGGGGCGACGATACCGATGGCACTTGAGGTGTAGAGCATGCAGCTGAAGATCACTTTGCCTCGTGGCGGGCTCGAGGTCCTTATTGAGGCCGTTTTGGGTCCCATAGGTGCTTAGGTTTCCGGCTCCTTCTCATTTCTTGCAGATGAATAACATTGTTCAAGGGCAGCTGGGCCTCGAGATTCTTCCCAGAAAGCACAACTCAGAGAGCCCAATACCCCTTAACTAAGGAATATACCTTAAATTATAGGGGCCTTAATATTATGATTTAAGATATATTCCTTAATTAAGGGGTATTGGGCTCTCTGGGAATACCCCTCAATGAAGAACGGCTTAGGGTTTACACTCTCACAACTGGGACATGCCAGGCGAGGTTCAAAGGTGCGGGTCGCTGTGACACCAACTGCAGCATCTGACCAAAGCAGTACTCAACCCACACAACAATCAAGTTAACCAGCAACCGAAAGAAATACCCAGTCAGACACTGTGCAAAGGAGGGCAGTTCGTGTATGACCTTATCACCCTGTTGACTGAAAAGGCTTCGGCCCTGTCAAAGAGCTTTCAGGCTGCCCCTGGGGCTCCGAGGTTTGAACCGAAACCCGAGCCCTTGGTGAGCCCTACAGCCCTGAACCTTGCTAGTGGAAGAGCCTTTTGGTCGAGGACAGGACTTTTCTGCCTGGCCTTGGATGAACTTCTTTGCCTCAGGCATCTGTTTTGCTTTTGCATCAGAACTTGTGCAATCGCCTCTGGGCCTAAACCCGCAAACACCTAAACCCATCGTACCCCAGACCCCCATATTACACCCCTGGGTCCATGCATGTGCCCGGAATCCGGGGGGCCCTGAAGCTTATGCCCTCTCCTGCCGCAGCTTCGCAATCTCGAAATGGGAGCTCTGCGCCTGCTTCTTGGAGGTTTTCGGAGGAGGGTAGGGGGGAGAAGTTCAGCAAGGTTTACGCAGGAGTGTGGGGGGTTAGGCTAGGGGGACTGGATAAGTAGTTGACAAGGAGTGCGCGAAGAAGCATAGCCCACGTAGAGAGAGTAGACAACCCGATATGAACCTGAACATCCCCACTCCCTGTGCAGCGCTACGAGACTGTGACAGTGATGTTCAGACTCTCGCATCCATGCTGTGGCACTCCCACCAAGTCCTAAACCAAGCAGGCCCAAGTGAACAGAAGGAGGCTGCGGTGCAGTGCAACTACTACTGCTATTCTTCTGGCTGTTACTATCAGCAGCATCACGATCATCATCAGCATCATCATGTTTAATTACTCCCATTCGCGTGCGTTTACTCTGGCGTGCGCGGTTTCAGCCTCCACAGTGTACAAGTTCAGCAGCAACTTTGTCCTGAGCTTTGCGAGCTTTTACCACAGACCCAGGGGCTTCTAGTATCAGCATCCACATGTTGCGCCTTTTCAGGGGAGGGAAGGTTGCAGACTTCTTCAGCCGATCTAGACATCAGGAAACTGCACACATACCTGCAGACAAAAACAAAGCATGAAACACTCACGCATGCATATAGAGGTATGTAGCGTATACATGAATACGGTCTGCGCGAGCTACGTGTATATACGTAGAGAGAGAGAGAGAGATATGCAATCATACCTACATCTACAAGAAACCTAGAAGCGAACAAGCAAATAGACATGCAGCTCGGCACGTTCTATCATCGTCTTCTACAAACCACCCAACAACTGAGATGAAGAAAGGCAAGAAGCGGAGTAAGAGGAACGACAACCCGGGCAACAGCAACCGTCAAGATGACCATGTTCGTCAAAGTTGATGCCGGCGCTGCAGGGCTGAACAGATTGTTGATTCCTCAACTTTGGGATGCAAAGCAATGCAAGGTCGAGAAGCTTTCTCCTTCGGACCACCTTTTCTTGGTGCTTTCAGCGCAGTGTCTCCATCAGTCTCCATCCGCTCAACCAGGACAAGATGTAGCCCAAGGCGTCAGTCTGAAATCTTCGGAATTCAAGCCCAGGGAGTCTCAAAACTAATTGCTCAACCAGCCAGCCCAAGTCCTCGGCACCAAACGCCAGCACCCGAAGAGCCCTAAACCCAAAACGGACCCTCCCACCCCCCTATTAAACCCCCCTAAACCCCTGCAACCCCTGCCTTCAAAACCCTGGAGCCACACCTCGAGGCTCGCACTTCTCAGCCCTGCTGAGCGGAAAGTCCCAGGAGCCATTCACAGGCGGCATCCGGACCTGCTAGCAAGGTTCTGTCCCTGTAGGGCAGGATTTAAGGTTTAGAGGTGTTGGTAAAACATAGCTAGTGCTCTAAATTAGGCTCCCTTTTGTTTGGGTCCAAACTAGTACAGCACTTGACATGACATGTTACACGCTACAGGTTATTATCTCACACATATGAGATATTCTAAGTTATACTGCGCTGGACTCACACTTGGACACCCCAGGACGAGCCTTAGGTAGGTTCGACAATGCTCTGACGACCAACAACATCGTCATGTGACCTTGTACCAGATTTGTAGAAGTTAAGGCAAGCGCAGCGCGATTATCATCAGCACCGCCACCACAAATGCCACCACCACTGCCGCTCTCACTAGCACCAGGAGAAACGGCAACAGCGACGACTACTGCTAACACTACTACCGGCTGCCACCACTACCCCCATCGCCACCACTACCACTTCTATCTACAACCACTACCACTGCGACTACTACTGCTACTGCTGCTTCTCGACTACCGCAACAACGACCAGAGCTGCCACCACCACTGCTGACTCACTCACTGCTGCGCCTGTTCCTCCTCTCTCCGTGCGGACTGTTTGCATCTCGGCTTTGAGAGCAACTCTGTTTAGAGCTGTGCCGGCTGCTGTGGCATAACATGGCACAACTAATTAGTCACAATTGTTCGCATATTCTGTCCAAAGATGCACGACTCCCAAACTGTCTGCATCGCCCGATGATGCCTCGTCCTTTGCATGGGCGGCCACCGCTAGTCAACCAGCTACACCCATTGGAGCCACGCGAGATTTGGTGTGACACCACTGGGAACTTCTTCAGTTAAAGAGCTCCGGTTGCAGAAGCCCAAGCCCCAAGCAGCATCGCATCACAAGCAGTCAACGTCGCTACGGGGCTCTGTTGCGGCCATCGCCGTCGTCACCCGCGTCAACGCGATGCCCCTAACATCAGTTGCGGATATGTCTTTCGTTATCCTTACTACTTGTAGTAAATGATTTAGCACCTGTGTTTGCGGCTATATGTCGTCACGGTGCTCCTGGTGCT